GTATATGATTAGTTTGCACCAGAATTTGTTTTAATAGTGTGACGATAAAAAGGAGACAGTATATTTGAGTCGCAATAAAGAAAGGCGTTAATTTATTCTGATTATTCAATAGGTGTTTCTGAGTTAGGTAGTTCTATTTTAAATTTTATTTAAAAAGATTTTTCCACAAAGACATAATCGATAGATAAACAAAGATCCGCAAAATTTGTTCTGTTTGTAACAGGTGAATATTTTTGAAATAAGCCAAATAGCAAATAAAGACAAGTAAAAATAGTAAAATCATTACCTCCCTATGTCTCTATCTCTCCCTATCTCTCTATCTCTTCCCCTCTCTCTCTCTCTCATTTTCTTTCTCCCCATTTCTCCTTCCCCTCTCTCCCCACTTTTTAGAAGGACATTTCATCGTTTTATATATATATATATATATATATATATATATTTGTTTCCAGTAAAAAGAGCTGTTGTGTTATTAGTATGACATTGTTTTTTATTGTGTTAGTAATGAAGACTTGAATCAAATTTAAGACGGAAATGGCGTCTGTTTTTAAGATTTTTCGCTTCACTGCGCGATATATTCCCAAAAAGCGAAAAATGTGCATTCTTTCATTATTAATCAAGACAACATACCAAACAGAAACTTCCCATTATAATATGATTTTCAATGACATTGTAATCAAGATAGTTTAGAGAGCAATTATGTTATGGAATAATTTCAAAGTAATCTGTTGAAAAATTAAACTTTAAGCGTTAGTATACACGTAGATTTAATATTATCTTGGTAAAATATTTGAAACCAAACATTTTTATCGAAATTATCTTTTAAAATCAATGTTGTTAATCTCCTTAAAAGCTCCACAGATAGCATGACTAAAATTCTCGTCGCACTGTAATTAATATAACACCGATATTTCATTTACAAATGTATATTGACATTCAAGTGGAATTGTTTTCGAGTTCTTTATTATTATTCTTTTTTTTTTTTTCAATCTCAATGCATTTGCCTTTTATGACAAGAGTAA